TTTTTTTTTTTTTTTTTGAGACGGAGTTTCACTCATGTTACCCAGGCTGGAGTGCAATGGCGCGATCTCGGCTCACCGCAATCTCCGCCTCCCGGGTTCAGGCAATTCTCCTGCCTCAGCCTCCTGAGTAGCTGGGATTACAGGCACGCACCACCATGCCCAGCTAATGTTTTGTATTTTTAGTAGAGACAGGGTTTCACCATGTTGACCAGGATGGTCTCGATCTCTTGACCTCGTGATCCACCCGCCTCGACCTCTCAAAGTGCTGGGATTACAGGCTTGAGCCACCGCGCCCGGCCTTGATGTTCCTTCTTACCAAATTTTCATTTGGTTCTTGACTGCTCATCTCCTATAATATGAATATTCTTTTCACATGTAGTAATTGCACATGACTGTGTGTCATCCCCATGACTAGATCATTGTTTAAAGATACTGTGAGTGTAATTCCAAAGCCAAGTGCCAATACCAATATGTCAGTAAATGTTCCACATTCATAGAAATTAATGAAACAAACTAGTTCATTTCAGAAATGTCATACAAAAACATTTGTCAAAATATGACCACTAAGCATACAGTATCTTGCAAAATTGAAGGTGAAATAATGTACTTGATCTTTTTTTTTTAAAAGCCTTTTATAAAAGAGTTTCGTTGATGTCATTATGGAATCATTGAATATTGTATGCAGATTTTTTCATCTGCTAAAAATGTTTCTGATTCCACATTGTCTGAGAAATGGTGGGAGTGGGTGAAAGCTAGATCCATACATTGTCCTCTTCCTCCCTTATCATCACATGTTCCCATATAACTTTGGAGAGGATTTCGGAATATTATTTGGCTTTTGGTTTTTGGTTTTGATTTCTGTTATTGCTGTTTTATAGGGACTAGAGTCTTGAATGGAGCACACTAACTTTTATATATGGCAACATTTCGAATCTGTCTCTACTCTCATAGTTCCCTTATGTATAAATGGAGAGCCTGCAGAGTTGATTTCAGTTCCATCATGTTGATATTCCTCTCATTCAAAATTATCTGTAAACACAAATAAGAATTGCTCTTATAGTAGATGTTATGCTCTGTCCATTCTACTTTTCTTTCTGAGGATGACAGAGGTAAAGTAGAACATTTTGTAAACAAATATGCCTTTATCTAATAGTTTGTTTTTTTTTTTTTTGAGGTATGGTCTCACTCTGTCTCCCAGGATGTGTGCAGTGGTGCAGTCATAGCTTACTGAACCTCCAACTGGGCTCAAGTGATCCTCCCACCTCCACCTCCCAAGTGGCTAGGACCACAGGGCCCACAACTATGCCCAGCTAATTTTTTTTTTTATTTTAATTTTCTGTAGAGATGGGCTCTTGCTGTGTTACCCACACTAATCTCAAACTCCTGGCCTCAAATCCTACCTTGTCCTCCCAAAGTGCTGGGATTACAGGTGTAAGCCACCGCTCCCAGTCCTGATTAAGAATTTTAATATAGCATATTATAGCATATTACTCTGATTTTAAGATTTCATGTGTTTTCATTTTTTTTTTTTTTTTTTTTTTTGAGATGGAGTCACCCACTGTTGCCCAGGCTGTAATGCAGTGGCACAATCTTGGCTCACCACAACCTCCATCTCCCAGGTTCAAGCGATTCTCCTGCCTCAGCCTCCTGAGTAGCTGGGATTACAGGTGCACACCACTATGCCCAGCTAATTTTTGTATTTTTAGTAAAGATGGGTTTTCACCATGTTGGTCAGGCTGGACTCAAAACGCCTGCATGATCCACCCGCCTCGGCCTCCCAGAGTGCTGGGATTACAGGCGTGAGCCACCATGCCCAGCGTTTTCATATTTCTTTATGTAACACAATAGTTGTAACACACTAATAAAAATATTAACATTTAGGTATATTAAAACAGTATGACATGACATATGGGAATGCCAGAAACCCAGATCTTATCTTAGGGTCGCTTACAGTCCCCTGCTTTTTTTAAACACACAGTTTTGTATCCCTAAAAAGGTAGTTATTCAATTAAATTAGGTGCTAAAGATCTGTATTCTGTACATCATCATCACCTTGCCACCTGTCCCAAAGTGGCCTCTGTTGTTAGCCCTCAACTTTCCCTGCTTGACTTGTTGATTTGATTTACAAACAGTAGATCGGATGCATTTCCCCTACAAAAGCTCTGTCTGCAATGACCCTCCCTTTCCAGGAAGTGTTAAACATGCTGAAGGAAAGCAAAGCAGACATCTTCGTTGACCCAGTTCTTCATACAGCTTGTGCCCTGGACATTAAACACCACTGTGCAGCCATCACCCCTGGCCGCGGGCGTCGTAAGTCTCTGTGTTCACTCTAATCCTGTCTGAACTCTCTTGGGAAGAGCAAAGACTCCCTCTTAGACATCAGTTGCAGCTACTGTGGTCTGTAGCTATAACCCAGTCACAGACAGCATTCCCAGGGGACCTGAGTGATGCCAAAACTAGGCGTTTGTGACATCATGAAATTAGGAATAAGCTGCAGGTTTCAACTGACCTAGTCATGACCAGAGCTGAAGATTTGATGAGAAGGGAGAGTTGAGGTATTTATCAGGGAAGCAGGAGTTAAATCATCATCATGGTCCTTTTCTCTACCCAAACCAAAAACCGCTTCATACACTTCCTCAGTGGCCACAGTGGACTCAGTAGATAGGTTCTCTGAGGAGCGAGCCAAAGCAGGTGTGAAAATTCTTTCTGAGCCATGCATGCCCAAATAAAACTAAGAGAAGTTATTTGGTTTTGTTTTATTTTTATTTATTTATTTTTTTTTTGAGACAGTCTCTCTGTTGCCCAGGCTGGAGTGTGGTGGCATGATCTTGGCTCACTGCAACCTCCGCCTGCTGGGTTCAAGTGATTTTTCCCATCTCACCCTCCTGAGTAGCTGAGACTGCAGGCACCCCCCACCATGCCTAGCTAATTTTTATATTTTTTAGTAGAGACAGGGTTCTGCCATGTTGGCCAGGGTAGTTTCAAACTCCTGACCACAAGAGATCTACCCACCTCTGCCTCCCAAAGTGCTGGGATTACAGCCATGAGCCACTGCGCCCAGCCTGTTTTTGTTTTAATTTTTTGAGACAAGGTCTTACTATATTGTAGTCTCAAACTCCTGGGCTCAAGGGACCTTCCTGCCTCAGCCTTCCGAGGCTGAGGATTACAGGGGCTTGCCACCACATCTGGCTCTTAAAAATAAGGAGGTTTGAAGAGAGACTTTGGATGCCAGCTCTGGAGGTTACATGTCATTTCTCTCCATCGTTGGATCCTGGGTCAAGTTTCCTAGTATGTCTTTAACTTTGTTGAACCTACAGATCTGAATCTGGTGGTTGTGGATCCTTTTCCCCAACTTTACAGGAATTTCTCTATTCTGCAGTTTCAGGTCCTTCCTATTACTTGTTTCCTCCCACAGAAATGTCCTGTCTCATGGAAGCACTGGAGGATAAGCGGGTGAGGCTACAACCTGAGTGCAAAAAACGCCTCAATGACCGGATTGAAATGTGGAGTTATGCAGCAAAGGTAAGGACCAAGAAAATCTCCTTTTTTTTAGAAAAAAAAAAAAAAAAAAACTATATGGAACACTTCACCAATTTACATGTCATCCTTGAACAAAGGCCATGCTGCTCTTCTCACTGTGGTTGTCCAGTCTCTTTTAGATATTGTACTGGCCTTATCCGTATCATGAGACTCTCAGTAAGTGTGTTTGAAAGCGTGGTCGGTGTGTTTTTAAAATTCTTTGGCTGTCCATGAGCCTGGAGCCGTCTCCCTGTAGGTTGGGCTGTCTGCAAGGCTTTGCCAGGGCCACCCGTTTCTCGCTTCGCCCACGGTTCATAACTGAAAAGTGAGTCACCCAAAGAGAAAAGAGATGTCACACCCATGCAAAAGAAAGAAATCCAGCCTTGCCTGTCTTGAAGCTTGTTTTTACCGTTTTACACAGTCTTTAGGAGAAAAATATGTATGTGAGGCCAGTACTCATCTGGTCTGGAACATGGAGAAGAAGGGGATGAAGAGACTGCAGAACACTCATGAATGTGTATGATACCCAGGCTCTTGGGCTAGGGAAAGTTTTTCGCACAGAGGTTCAGCCTCAGTGAGAATAGCAGTTCTTCTTGTGTATACATTGCTTTGTAGTTTATGTAACACTTTGGTGGACATTTTATCTCATTTGAAACTTGAAACCCTGTGAGGTAAGTAGAATGCCTTCTTCCTCACTCTACGGTGAAGGAAACTGACTTCAGAGGTCATGACTTGCCCAAAGTCCCTCAGGTTTTTAGATCCATGCTTTTATATCAACTAACATTGGGATAGACATTTGCAGTGACCTAAGATCAAGAGAGTAACTCCAGGACTGCCCCTACTTCTAGCCATTTCTTTTATCATCCATGTACTTCCAAGTCAAGGGTAACAAGGCAAGAGGAACAATCAGAGAAAGTCTCCATAGCTAGACAGCAGGAAGCTGCAGGGCAGGGCTCCTGTATATCACAGTCGTCAGCACTCTCCTCACCCTTCTCCCAAGGGAAGAAAGCCGCCTTTGAAGCCCATGGCTCAGGGAAGCAGCAGCAGGAGATGCTTTGTTAGTTCATTCTCCCTCATTATGTCCACTCCTTTGAGCTGCGTGTTACTGCTTCAGAGTGACTCAGAGTAACTCACAGCTTGTTTTGTGTTGGCAGCTATTGGAGCTCAAATCTCATTCATCTCACTCTTCTCCACTCTGTCTGTGTATATGATATGAGCATAGAAACAGCCCAGATGCCTCTGGGGCAAACCATCTCAGCAGCCGGAATTGGATGCAAAAGAATAGGGGCATGTGCACCTGGGGACCCTTTCGATCCTGATTCTGCCATAGTGGGCTACCATTGAGGTCTGCTGGGGAAAGTAGTGAAAAACTGAGGGTGAAGAGTAGCTGAGGTTAAAGTATAAATGTCCACAAGTGAGGGCAATTAACCGTATTCTGTCAATATAAGTTATGTTTATGGTGTAGTGGCATGAACATGGCTCACTGCAGCCTCAAACTCCTGGGGTCAAATGATCCATTTTGAGTAGCTGGGACCACAGGCCATGCCACCACATTCAGCTACTTTTTAAATTTTTTGTGGAGACGAGATTTTGTTTGTTGTCTAGGCGGGTCTCAGCCTGCACATTGTTTTTGCTGTGGGAAATGCTTATGGTATAATGGTGAGTGAAAAAAGTCAAAATACAGGCTGGGTATGGTGGCTCACACCTCTTATCCCAGCACCTTGGGAGACTGAGGCAGGAGGATCGCTTGAGCCCAGGAGTTTGAGACCAGCTTGGGCAACATAGGGAGACCACATCTCTACAGAGTTTTGTTTTTTTTTTTGAGATGGTGTTTCACTCTTGTTGCCCAGGCTGGAGTACAGTGGTGCAATCTCAGCTCACTGCAACCTCCACCTCCCAGGTTCAAATGATTCTCCCACCTCAGACTCCCGAGTAGCTGGGATTACAGGTGTGTGTCACTACACTTGGCTAATTTTTGTATTTTTAGTAGAGATGGGAGTTTCACCATGTTGACCAGGCTGGTCTCGAACTCCTGACCTCAGGTGATCTGCCTCTGTGGCCTCCAGACCAGAAAAAAAATTGTTTTAATTAGCTAGGCATGGTGGTGCACTTGTAGGCTGAGGTAAGAGGATCCCTTGAGCCCAGGAGTTTGAGGCTGCAGCGAGCTGTGATCACATCACTGTATGCCATCCTGGGCAACAGAGTGAGATCCCAGCTCACTGAAAAAAAAAAAAAAAAGCCAAAATATAGAATTTACAAAACGTAGAATATACAAAACAATCTCATCTTTTCTCTTTGTTTTTTAAAGAAAGGCAGCAAACGAAGTTAAAGGACACAAATCAAAAGATAGAAGAACCCATAGCCTTTAACCACGTTCACCCCTGGGGCCAGTGATTCTCCATCCAGAGTATAGGAGTGGTGAAAACTGCCTGCTTGGCTTGGTGTGAGCACTAAATGAGAGAGGGCAGGGGGAGCCCTTTGTCCAAGGCCCAACACATCTTCAGTGTTGTGATGTTAGTGGAGATCACTGTGATGGAATTGTGGGTGACTGCACTACTTTGTATCTTTCTGTATTTCTACTTTTGTGCAGTAGACATGTATATAGTTTTATGATCAGGAAAAAGTTGTAGCTTTGTGTTGATTTTTCTTTTTCTTTTCTTTTTTTTTTTTTTTTTTGAGACGAAGTCTCACTCTATTGCCCAAGCTGAGTGCAGTGATGTGATCTCGGCTCACTGCAACTTCCACCTCTCGGGTTAAAGCAATTCTCCTGCCTCGGTCTCCCAAGTGGCTGGGACTACAGGCATGCACCACCATGCCTGGCTAATTTTTTGTATTTTTAGTAGAAATGGGGCTTCACTATGTTGGCCAAACTGCTCTTGAATTCCTGACCTCGTGATCCGCCCGCCTTAGCCTCCCAAAGTGCTGGGATTACAGATGTGAGCCACTGCACTTGACTGTGTTGATTTTTCTTATCTCCTGCCCTCCCTCTCCAAAAGAAAATACATAAATTAAACTAGCAACTAAGAGGGATAAGTTAGACCTAGCATTACCACTAGCCCAGTGCTCTTTGAGAGAATCACATTGCTTTGTGTCATTCTAGGTGGCCCCAGCAGATGGCTTCTCTGATCTTGCCATGCAAGTAATGACATCTCCATCTAAGAACTACATTCTCTCTGTGATCAGTGGGAGCATCTGTATATTGTTCCTGATTGGCCTGATGTGTGGACGGATCACCAAGCGAGTGACACGAGAGCTCAAGGACAGGTAGAGCCACCTTGACCACCAAAGGAACTACCTATCCAGTGCCCAGTTTGTACAGTCCTCCTGTATAGCGTCCCCACTCACCTCGCTCTTCTCAGAGGTGACACCAACACCCGTGTTAGAGCATCAGCAGGTATCCACTGCGTTGTCCCGTCCAGCCTCTACTCATGTCCATGGTGTCCTCCTCGTCCTCACCGTTCGTGCAGCAGCAGCAGCTGGCCGCTGGGGTTCCTGCCTTTGTTGGCAAACTTGGGTTTACCTGCCTGTAGACAAGTCTCTCTCGTACCAACAGAACTACCGGTACTTCCAGAAACAACTCACCTGACCTGCAACTCAAAGGCTTTTTTTAAGAAAACCACCAAAACAAAAATTTTTTTTAAGAAAAAAACGTATATAGTAGCGCATCTCCTCCAGGCTTCATTTGGGCAATGGGGTTATTTCTTTCATATGACTGTGTAAAACCAAGACAGAACTTAGAGTGGAAGCACACCACCCAGTGTGCCATGACTGAGGTGTCTTGTTCCTGTCTCAGAAGCACCTTGGGGCTGAACCAGGGCTATGGTCTTCACCAAGGAGTGGGTGGGCAGCCACTCCCTAGGCTGTGTGGGTCCTGCTTTCTTCTGCTGAGAAGGTGACGCTTTCCAGTTTCTACCCTAATCAGCCGTTGCCAGCCACAGCCCCAAGGCCATGGGTATTCTATGGTCTCCTCACCTCATTAAAGCAAAGCATGAGCCTCCCTAGACAAGGGCAGCTGGGGAGGGGAAGGGACTGGAAGTTTGTGAAGTTGGACAGTCCACGCATCTGCACAGAGAGGCTGGATTCTGAGTCCCTGAGTCCCCAGGCAGCAGGATCCCAGGAACCTTCCTCCTCCAGAGTAGCACAGGACTCAGTTTCCTCTGGACCGGCCCTGCTCAGGCTGCAGTCACTCCAGAAGCTCTGTCCTTCACCGGGAGGCTGGACTGTGGTGGGAGGGGTCCTTGAAGACGGGTGTGGGGAGCAGCAGGGCAGGAAGCAGGAGCCAGAAGTTTGACTCACTTTGCTTTATTTTTCAGGCTACAATACCGGTCAGAGACAATGGCTTATAAAGGTTTAGTGTGGTCTCAGGATGTGACTGGTAGTCCAGCCTGACCTTTCTACACACTCCAGACAAACTTCCCAGACAAGCTCCTTTGTGCCTCCGCGTGGAGAGGGTGTGGAAAGTTATCACATTAAAAGATGGAGGATTTGCTCCGTTTTTTTTCTTTCTGTCCGTTTGCTGCGTGTACCCACTCTAGTAGGCATTGGCTAAATGTTGTCTTTTGGTGATTCATCAACCTTTGCAGGATATGGGCGTTATAGAAGCAGTATTCTTGGCCTCATTCCTCCAGTGTGGAGATGCCAAGTCGGGGGTGTGAGAGGGAGGAGTCCAGGCGTCATGGTTCAGCCTGGCACACCTTTGGTTGAGTTTGGGGCATGAAATCACAGTGGCTGCGCAAGAAAGCAGTGTGTACAGTAGGAGATATATTTGTATAATATATATTTTGTTAACCTGTTAGATGTCCACAAAGTATTATAAATCACGTGCCTAAAACTGTCCACGTAGACCAAGGCCCACCCTTGGCGCCCTCCCCTCCCCGCCTCTGCTCTACACGGTCGGCGCACGCTGCAGGACCCGAGCGACACTCATCTTCCCCGAAGGGTGTTCAGTACAAAGTGTGTCAGTTTGTGGATGCGTTGATCCAAGTTACTCCTTGACTAACCTGACTGACATATATTTGAATACTGTGGTTTTCTTTCTTTTTTTCCTATTTTGCTGCCCTTCCTGGAGGCAGTGGGTTCCAGGAGCCAACTGTCTGTCTTCCTGCCAAGTCATCAAGGGAAGCTGCTAAGCTGCTTAGTCTCCTCGGTCCTGCTCGTAGGATCTTCCTGATTGTCCACAGCTATCTGGGATGCTTCAGCCTCCTAAAACTGGAAGCGTGGGGTGCGAGCAACACACCCCTTCTCCCACCACTGCCGGCCGGAGTGAACGGCCAAGAGTTCTCTACAGGTTCCCCTGGGGGCTGGGGGCTGCTGAGGCTAATATCAAGAATCAGGAATGTCATGTATATGCAGGTTCCCACGGACGTGTCTGGTGTGGTTTGCAGGTAGGATGAATGCCCCCCGTTTGACCGGGTGGGGTGTTCTTCATCTCTGCACTCTCCTTTCCAGTGTGCGTAAACCCTTATACTTCTCATCATCTTGATATTTGTGTTCTTTCCAAATTGGGAGAAAATCCCATTTGTCATCTGCACATTTGGAAGTTTGATGAGGAATTTGGTCCTTGAAACATTTGTCATCTTTAGAAATGGTCAGAATAGAAAAGATAGCTCTGCCAGTATCTTCAGTTGCTTATTACAAGAAAGTCTTTCATCATCCTACTTGGAGTGTTTTCTGGTGACTGGCTCTTGAGAGGCCCAGGCAGGACCCTGAGCAAGTTTTTCTAAGTTCCAAAGCCAACGAAATCTGAACTGGCTGCACTCATCGAGTCCCTCATTTGGCAAAACAAAACAGGGCCAGGGCACCCCTGTTTCCTGGCTTCATAGGTCAGTCATTTGGGTGAGACTGCTCAAGAAGAGTGACCACGATCTTTCTGTGGATGGGAGTGGGTGATGGACTCTGGCCTCTATCTCCTCCCTGATGTCGAGCCCGTGAACAGTAGAAGGAGGGGGCAGGGGTGTTGCCAAGGCTAAGGCTTCCGGTACTTGCTGACAGTTACAGCAGCTGGGTCGCTGTCATCTGGACTTGCCCTTTTCTCGGCAACTCTTAGACACGGTGTGCTCCCAAGCCCTCTAGAGGCACCTGGAGCCTGGGCTGCCTGGCTGGAGGCACTGGAGTACTGAAGGTGAGCTGTGTGGGCAAACTATTAAGAACAAGATGAACTGTTCCCAGTGGAGCTTCTCCCACAGAAGGGGAGCTGTGTGAGGCCTTCATCTGGATACATGCTGGACTTCTGCTGCTATTGCTGCTGTCCCTAGACAAGCCTGCTAGCAAGAAGCACCAGCAGGGGAGCCATGCATGCCATAGGCTTGGGATCACTCCAGGGAAAGTGATCTTCCCCGCGGCTCCCACTCCCAGCTCTAGTTCTGAACCAGTACATCCTCGGAAGCTGGGAGGGTTCCAGGGTGGCCGGTGAGCTAGTCTTCAGTGAGCAGGTGTTGACTTGAACACATTGCAGGCCTTTGGCTGTCTCATGCTGTGCTTACTCTTCTTGGGAACAGTGAGCCACTCAGCTGGCTGGGGTGGAGACGTATCCTGGTGAAGGGACAGCTTTCCCTGAAGATGCCACAGAAAGTTACTGTCTGATTTTATTTGTTTCTGTTTCCTGAGATCAACTAACAGAGGAATCCGATGGTGAGGGTGTCTACATTCATTCATATTTTACGTTTTATCAAGGCAGATTGGAAAGGGAATTATGTGGCTGACTTCTGTTGGGCTTCCCAAGAGAAGATTCTCTTCTTAGGTCATTGTGGCTCCTAGAAATGTCTCCTCTCCTCACAGCCTCCAGGCCTGTGGTGTGACTTCTGCCCCGAAGTTTCTGCTACAGTGAGTCATCTGGGGAGAGGAGGTTGCTTCCCTGAAAAGAGGCCTTCCCTTCCTGTTTCCTCCCCTACCTCCTCAAAACATACTGTAAGTCAAAACAATCTAAGGAGAAAGAAGCTGGATCAGGAACCTCAGAAGTCAACCACAGTCAGCCTAAATTTTGGCTATAAAAGCAGAAGAAGAATATGGGTAGTTGGGTTTTTTTTTGTTTTGTTTTGTTTTGTTTTGTTTTTTTTGAGATGGAGTTTTTGTTCTGTCTCCAGGCTGGAGTGGTGCAATTTCAGCTCACTGCAACCTCCGCCTCCCGGGTTCAAGTGATTTTCCTGCCTCAGTTCCCAGAGTAGCTAGAATTACAGGTGCGCGTCACCATGTCCAGCTAATTTTTGTATTTTTAGTAGAGATGGGGTGTCACCATGTTGGCCAGGATGGTCTCGATCTCCTGACCTTGTGATCCACCCACCTTGGCCTTCTAAAGTGCTGGAATTACAGGCATGAGCCACCGAGCTCAGCATTTTTTTTTTTTTTTTTAGGCGGAGTTTCACTCTTCTTGCCCAGGCTGGAGTGCAGAGGCGCAATCTCAGCTCACTGCAACCTCTGCCTCCCAGGTTCAAGTGATTTTCCTGCCACAGCCTCCCAGGTAGCTGAGATCACAGGTATGCACCACCATGCCGGGCTAATTTTTTTGTATTTTTGTAGAGACGGGGTTTCACCATGTAGCCACGCTGGTTTCAAACTTCTAATCAGATGTGATCCACCCACCTGGGCCTCAGTTATGTGCATTTTGGTATATCGTATGTCAGTGTCTTGTAAGTTTGGAAAACATGAAAGATCATAATGCTTACTTTTATTTCTCACCATTTGGGCAGCGCCTGAGCGGTTTTGTAAAATACAGCCACTGGTGCTGTGGCTCTCTCTGGGGACTTGAGGGGCACTTGCTTCCTCCCCACTCGCCTTATCTCCAGTAGGCTTTGGTTCCCAGAAGGCCTGAGGCCAGGTCTGAGGTTCCTGCCTGCCTTCCTTCCCATTGGTCTTTGCTTGTTCATCCCTCTAACTGCACCCCCTCTTGGTCCTTTCTCCGCAGACTTCAAATAATAGATAAGTTATTAGCAAACCAGACTGAATCTTCAGAGTAAAGAGCTCCCCAAAGCCATCTGGTGAGATCATTGTGGGGACCCAGGGACTGTTTGTCACCTGGATCATGAAGATGGGGCTGTCTCCTCAGGCTGGTGGTGACAGGATCCTAACGGGCGGGCCTCTCCCTCTCTGCTCTAGCCCAACACACATGTAGGAGGCTGTGCTGTGTGCAGTGGAGAAATCTCCCTGGGCCAGGAGAAAGTTCAGACAGTGCCTCTAGATTGCGTTTTGCCTTCCCCCAACGTAGAGTTGACATCTGGACCCCAGAGCCCAGCAGGGCCTTCTGTCAGACATGCTAGGGTGATGTAAACTGCCTCCAGGTCCCCCTGTGGTGTGCTGGGTGGAGGCCCCGGGAGAGCCGGCAGCGGGAGAGCTTCCCGGGTAGCTTCCCCCAGCACAGTGTTCCCAAGCCAGTCCAGCCGAAAAGCAGACTGTACAGCAAATGCTGTGTGAGATCTTAGGCCTTTCACTTTTTTTTTTTTTTTTTCTTTGGGAAAGAAAGAGAAAAGTACAATTAACAAGCCTCTTTTGTAAATGGGTTTCCTTTCTATGTATAAAATCCTGGCGGTCCCTTGTTTTTACATGTTCATGCTGTGTAATTTTGAGATGTTACTGAGATATGTTCTGAACATAATGTGCATTTTTTTCTGTACAGATGAAATGGGAGAATTTAATAAAGAGTTTGCAGGTTTTTACTTGTTAAATCTTCTCTGTGGTAACTGGGAGGAACCTCTACCACCTGTCTGCTAGTGGAAGCAGTGACCATGACCTTGCCAGCGGATGCTCACAAACCTGGCTTATCAGGTCTTTCATTCTTGGCCATTTAGATCCAGCAGAATAGCACTGGAGGACTGTTGGAGGACAGGGGACCTTGATCCCCTTGGTTTCTGTATGCTAGTGGCAGAGCTGGAAGTCACATCTGGGGTTTTCTGACTCTTGAGCCAGTGTGTCCAGAATTAATCATTCTGTCGATGTGTTTAAGCCCACGTCATGAGGCTCTGTCCTGGAGAGAGTAGAACCTGGCAGCTTCTGCCTACAGATCTGACATGTGGATGGCTGGTCGTGAGAAGCGCCTAGTCTTCACTGGCCACTCTTCCCCCTCACCCCCTTGTCAGTCCTCCCTCACATCCCAGCAGCCCAGTCCCTGCGTCAGTAGCTCTTGCCAGACCCACTCCCTGAGCTTTTTCTGCTGCTGCTGCTGCTCTCAGCAAAGTTAATTTGCATCTCTGTGTTAAAAATGAACGGCTTCAGGAATGTGCATGGTAGCAGGGGTTCCTTGAAGTAGTAATATCCCTACTATGATTTGAGGAATGGGATGTGCTGCGAGAGGAGGCAGTTACTTGGGACCCAGGGTTTGTTCTCCGAACTCACCCCCATCATAGGCAGCTGCCACCTAGGGAGGTGGTGGGCCCGGACATAGAGGAGAGGTTGGGAGAAGGTGAAGGGTAGAGGAGGAAAGAGAAAGAGGAACTTGGGGGCCTTGTGAGTCCTCCCTGCAAATCTCACTCTGTCTAGGGAGCCAAAGCAGCCATCAATCTCTGCATGCGGGGAGCCCATCTGTCTTGGAGAGGCTGCCTGCTTTGATCTAAGCTTAGGAAGGTGGGCTCCATGGTTCAGGCTCCTGTTACCAGTGCACCCTACAGGGGAGATTTTGGTTCACCTACCCACTTCCCCTGCTCCTCTCAGCCCTGTAAGTGGATGCCACAGCCCCAAAGGCCCTGGCAGTTGGTGATGGAGACAGCTGCCCAGCTGAAGCCTCAGCAGCCTGAATGTATCACCCCACCCTGACATTTTATGTGTGAAGATGTTTCTGGTAAAGATTCCATGACCAGCATAATCCTCAGAGGCATTTGGCATTTGTCTTCAAAGAGGGCTAGGAATTAAAGGGTTGTAGCCAAAATGAGAAGCTTAGACATCCAGCTCTCACTTGATGAAAGAATGAGGTATAGAAAAGGGAGGCCCTTCTCAGACAGCTGAGCAGCAGTGCCCAGGAGTACCTGCCCACCAGGTACTGTCCCTCTCATTGGCCAAATTGGCTTGGGGATCTGGATAACCAAACTAAAACCCCAGCTTCCATCAGGTTGCAGGGGAAGATAAGAAGAACATCACCAACCCAGGAGCCTGTACACTCCCTGGACAGGCCCTCCCTGGGAGCTCTCGGTCTCGGCCCTAGATTCCCACCTTCCTTGCCCACAGCAACCCACAGCACAACTGTGTCTCGAACACCGTGTACCTGGGGAGACGCTTGGACGATGTGGAAGAGAAAAGTGGGGAGGAGAGGGGCAACGTCTCCCAGGCAGCAGACTAGGAGGAAGCTGGCTCAAACGAGGAGGTAGCGGCTGGAGCACAGGCAGCTCTTCTAAGGACTAGGCCGTTGCTAATGCTTGGCTGTCATACACCAGGGCCCTGGCAGGAATATGCCTTTCTCTTGCCCGGGTCCTGGAGCTGTGACCTCTCCTTGACCCTTTTAGCTGAGAGACCCCTTAGGGTGGGCCAGATAGCAATGATTTCTCCAGAGAGCAACCAGTATCAGGCCATAGAACTGAGCTGCACCCAACAGCCCCAGGTAGCAGTAGGTGACGGCAGTGAAGGTCTATTCAGGTTTCACTGCGGGACACACAGGTCTAGGTGAAAGGTTGGGCAGGCCTCTGACGTTGCGTTTTCATGGTATTTTCCTGTATGCCACTCCCACCTCCCAAAGAGCCAGCTCTCTGGCTCACTTACATTCTGGGAGGTTATAATATCCCCATCTTATAGATGGAAAAGTTAGGCTTAAGTTCTGTAAGGACAGCGGTGATTTCTTT